ACAATATACTTTATTGCCTAATGAAATAGTGTTATTCTCTAATTTAACAAAAGTTGTACCTACATTGTCTCTAGATTCGTTCTGTCCATAAACTAAATACCATATAGTATTTTACGGATTATCTCGTGTTTTTATGTACAATCTATTTTCAATGTATTTCTTATCAGTCTTCTGTAATATATTTTTCTGAAGTATCTCTTCTAAGTATTTACTTAGATAACTTCAAACAGTTGTAGCTAGTCATAGCAGACAGGCAATTAAGTAAGCTTTACTCTACTATCGGTCTATTTGATGTATTGATATGTTCTTTTCTGAACCCTTCACGACAGAAGCTAAAAATTTGATAATAAACTCGTCTATTATAAATATAATTATCAATATAACGAATATTAGCCATAAGATTGTCTCAGCAGATCTGTTAAAAATAAACTTTATGAGTTTTGCTTTTAGTCTCGTGTAGTAATAAATAACTGCCCAAATTCCTGGAACTCTTTAATATTTACTTATATTGCTCATCTTAATCAACGTTGCCATGCCAAAATCCCCAACCATATATGATAATAATCATAGTCACTCATTTGTCTGTATTATTATTATTATCTATAAAGTTGCTATAAAGTTTCTTCACCAATGACGTCTGTTGCTTTATCACTTTTCTCTCTGTCTGCTTGTTTATTGGGGTTTTGTTGCGACGTCATGTTCGTATTTGACTGTGTGTGTGTGTGGCATTATCTTATAAGATTCGTACTACAACAGTTCTTGGCTTTTGCTATGTTGTTCTATAAGACATTTTATTATTTTCGTGGGCTTAGTTAGAAACATGTGCCCAAGACGTCATCATGTGAACAGCCAACAAGCTGGCCAAAAAGGTGCGTGCTTTTTCCCAATTGTCGTGTCCGTTTGTTGACCAAGTTTTGTGCGAAATGAAGTGTACATAGATGTTAGATCTTGGTAGGTATATATACATATAGATATGGTTATATAGGTAGATAGGTGATACATGTGTATATAAACGTAGCTGAAGATTTATATATTAATATTGTTATAGGAGCAATTGTATAGCCATCTCTATATTATTTATATAGAAATATACGTAGGCATACATAGATAGAGCATACATTTTATTAAGCTTATATAAATATATAGTAAGACAAACATAGATATAGTATTTAGCTCAAAGTATGTGCTCACGTGTGCTCTTTAAAATATCTTTGATTGTTGTGAGTTCTCTCGCCTAGCTACAGCTGCACCCTCCAGCAACACACACACACACTCACTCACTTACACTCCCTCTGCTGCAAACATGGCGCTAGACTATTGTTAGCTTCTACTTTTGCTTTATACGCAGACAATTTCTAGCTTTTAATGGCTTTTAATTGTGCAAGTGGCGAAGGGCTACTGTGACAGAGCCTAAACAAAAGTAATTTCACACTCGTTGATTTTCGCGCAAACAATTTTTCTTTGCACAGACAGAGGCACAACTAAAGCACTGAACTGCCCTCGCTGACGTTCGCCCTCTCTCTCAATATGTATATATGTATATATAGATAGAGATATATATATATATAAATATTTTTTTGTTGGTTGTTGTTGCTGTCAGATATTTATTAGCCACAATTTGGCAGACCTCAAATTGGCAGCTCTCTCAACCGGTGTGTGTGTGTGTATGTGTGTGTGTGTGTGACGCGTAACGCGAAATCGTAAAACGAAAATTTATTATTTATGTCAACTCTTTTGTGCTATTTGCGCTGTCAGGCCAGGCCAGGCCAGGCGAGGCTAGGCCAGTCAACCTGGCAGCCTGGCCCCCACCTGGAGGTCAGCTTTGAGCTCTGCTCTGCCAACTCGCTGCAAGCTAAAGCCAAATTATGCGAGGTACAAATTCTCAATTCTCTTGTTCGCTTTTCTTTTTGGATGCCAAAGCGCATTTGTCACAATTAAGCGAAGGGACTTGCAAATTATGAGAACTGCGCGTAAAATAATAAAATATCCTTTTGCCACAGCCATTGCCAGAGCCACAGCGACAGCCACAGTCACAGTTGAGGCGCAGGAGCCGCTGTAGCTGTGCGGAGGCTGAGACTGAGGTCCTTGCACGTTGACGTCGACGTCGACATGGCGCGCCTGGGACATCAGCCGATCCCCGATGGCACCTGAGCTGTAGCGCTCAATGGGGGCTCTCGATTTTTTGTTGGCATTGTTTTTCGACTGAACTGCAATCAGTGCAGATGGGTATATGGGTTTTACGATAGTCTATAGTGCATGGAGATGATAATATATGATGATAATATGGATGGATGATAATATATGGATGGTAGATATATGGATATGTCGGAACTAAGAAAATTGATCTAGGTTATGTGAGTTTCCCTAAGGACTTTTGAGTGAAAAACTATATAAACTACAGACTTATAATGGGATAAAGGTATTTTCTTGTATATATGTATATACATATATAGAGCAAATATATACCTTTTGAGTCATATCTGCTAACTTTGATCTATTGATTATTATGATTAGCTCGACCTAGAGATCTTTATCTTTATCCGTTTTTGTCCTTTTGCAATTTATCCACTTTCTAAATATATCATATCATTATGATAAAATCATCAAAGCTCGAGGAATAAAGGAAATAAATTCGTAAATTATCGTGCATAACTTCTATGACATATATTAAACACATTTTCTTTGTCGGATACCTCCATTGTTTGCGAAAAGTAAAATTCTGGAGCCTTTGCTCCATTTAAACTAAAAGTTTCGTCTTTCAATTTGCTACAGAGCATCTAGCAGTCGCGAATACCCGCCTAGAGCAGTTACTTGGTTATTTTTTGGCAGCCGCTGCTATAGCTGTAGCCACGCCACGCCCCAGACCAAGCGCCCCTGGGCAGTCAGTCTATTATATGGGGGGCTGTAGCCGTCAGTGGATTTTTTGAGCGTTTGCCATGAAATATGCAAAGCGCAGTTAAAAACTTTTTATTTGTATTAATCAAACAGACTTTTTACGCGGCTTCACTCGGCTTTCACAGTTTTTGACATTTTGTGGCACAACAATGGCAGCGACTGCATAATAAAATATATATATATATACAACCGATTCATTATACACTATATACCCATAGATATATGTATATCCAGCATATTTATATGCATTTACGACAATTATCGCTTTGGGGCATTTTAAAGCCAAACTCAAGGCAACTTTCACATGACAAATTAGTTGAGCAATAAAACTTGAGTGTGCTATCAAACTAAACTAAAAATATCGCCATCAATTACAAGGACTCTCTCTCTCTTACTCTCGTTATCCCTCTCTGTCTCTGTCTCTCTCGCTCGCTCGGCATGTGCTTGGCTGCTGCCAACGTGCGGCATATAAAAAGGTCATAAACAACGCGAACGACAACAATTTGAACTACGTCTAGGACTACATTGACAACACATTTGCCAAAAAGGGGGCTGAACTACATCATCGTGAGGCCCCACGCACTGTCCTGTCTATGCCACCCGTTCGACACCCCAACCTCTGGCAGCCTTCGCCCTTGCGGCCCCTATGCCATTTGCAATTTGGCAACACTTTTTTCGGTTACGCGGCTGTGGGCAAACGTTGAGCACTTTATATAAATTCTACAATACTTTTCTTTCTTTTCTCTATGTTTCTACTATTTTTTTTATGACCCTTAAGAGTGCATTCTACATGTACTCTAAATAAATATATACATGGAGAGCGTATATACATACATATACATCTGTTTATATATCGTCTTTTGATATATTCGTTTAGTTCTTCGAGTGCGCGACGCTTTATTACACATTTTTGCTAAATTACACTTTGGCCGCTAGTTTATTGCGAATAGCCCATTTGTAAGAGCAGCAACAAAGCTGTTGTTGATGCTATTGAGATACCCTGTATATGCGTGGCTGTAGGCGGGTGTGATGGAATTGCATTCTAGAGGCGTAAACAGGTTGTAACTTTGGGAAATGGAAACTGTTAGAGAAAGAGCAACGAAAAAGGAGTTAATATAAAAGAAGAGAACAAACAGTATAGCAGGAAAGATTGGAGGATTGAATTTACCAAAACAGTAAACTGCGAGGCAGGGAGAAAGATGAAACAGGGAAAGGATTTACACTGAAAAGAAGTAGAAATAGATATTGAGTACAGAGATGGAAATACAGCGAAAAGAAATGAGAGAGAGAAAGACACGAAGTAGTAAGAAAGATTAGATAAAGAGAGAAATAGATTATAGATAAAGCAAGAGCAAAAGAAACAAGTAGAATCAGAAACAAGTAAGGAGAAACATAGATTAGAGTCAGCTAGTCAGAGAGAGAGAGAAAAAGTGTAAATCCTTATAATGATATAAAAAAATATACAAATTCTTGATTCCAGAGTATCTGCTAGTTGAGCAGCTGCCAGGCTAACTGGCAAACATATTGACTTGTTATTATTATAGTTGCGTGGCATTTTAATAAGCCAAAAGTTGAGCTGGAAGTAAACCTCAAATCGATTCCGAGTTTTACAAGTTGCAAGCGTCATTAAGTGCGCGTAATTATTCAATGACTGTCAAAGGGAGAGGCAAAGAGAGAGAGGAGAGAGGAGTGAGAGAGCAGTTCAAAAGGAAAGACACGCATTTGGCTAGAATGCATTTTCCATAAAAAAAAAGCAGAAGGAAACGTCAGCAGCAGCAGCAGGCGGCAGACATATGCCAAAAGTTATTCCAGTGATAAATGATTTTGTAGAGTTGCTAAGACGTGAAGACGTGAAGACCTGAACTCCAGAAGACCTGGGGCATTATTAAGTTGACATTTAAAATTCTATAAATCATCAAGATTTACATTTTTGTCGCATTTAGCTGCACCTGTTGGCCAGCTGAAGAGGTAGAAGCGCCAGCTTGACTATATACCAAATAATGTGTAAATATATTTACATTATGCAACAGGATTGTGACTTTTGATAGACGTACTTACACTTTCGATGCATTTGCTACGATTTCATTCGTTCATTGTTTTTCCAGATGGCGAACCTATCAAACTGCCCGACAATTTGGAGAGCCTGCCAAGAGCCGACAGTTTCCCATCGCAGCGACATCGTTGGAATACAAATGAGGTCAGTTTAACATACATGAACATAGTATATATCTATAGACAGTATAATATACATATATACATATATATAGTATCTGTGTGTATTTGTGACTCGATTTGCATTTGATTGCACATAAAAAATGTCGAAACTGAAAGCAGAAAGAACAACAACAACAACAGAAACAACTTGACTCGCACTTGACAGGCAGGATGAGCCTGCCAGTCCTGCTGGCTGGACACTTTGACAGCGCTAAGGGACACGCTTCCTTTGACTATTTTTTCGTGTTAGAGATTAATAAGACACGCCTCGACCTGATCTGGACAGCTCTGCTTGCCTGGTTTATTAGGAATAGTCGCGAACTTCTCCCGTTTTTTTTTCTGTTTTTCTGTTTATGCGCCACCAAAACTATAATACAAATAGAAATTGTTTGGCGTGCCAGGATTCGCGAGGCGGTTCCATGGCATTTGTCCCCTGGCCGGCGCACGTACGCGCCAAAGTTTCGTTTCAGCTCTTTGTGTTTACAATAAAACTTTTGCGCTTAAAAAAGCTGAACAGTGGCCCTGGCTAGGACTGTGGCTACGGCTGTTTCTCTGTTTTACTTGTGAATTAAACGCAACCGCAAATATTCATTTGGACAGTTGTAAAGTTTTTGCAACAGAGTGAGTGAGAGAGAGGGAGTGGGAGTGTGAGAGAGACAGTGGAATTGGGCAGCAGCATTCGTTAAGCGACAATTTACATACTCGTGCGACAAGCTGACTAAATTAAAAATCAAGTAACGCAATGAGAGACTAAGTTTAAGCAGAGGATAAACAATACTTTAAAGGAAGAAGCAGAGAGAAGATCAATGGGATCGAGAGTGAAGAAGAGATCATTAAAGAGAAGATGAATAATTGGGAAGAGAAATATATTTTTAAGCAATTAAGAGAAGAGAAAATAATGAGAGAGTGGAGCATAGGAGAAAAAGGAGTAGAGAATAGGGAATAGAAAGAATAGAAGAGGAGCCATATGCAATGAAAGGATAAGACTAGAAAAAGAAAAGAATGGAAGGGAAAGAGAGAAAGAGAATTGATCAAAATATGATAAAAGAATAAATTACAGAGCCATATAGCACAAATCATTCGAAGAGAGAGAGCGAGAGAGAGAAGAGAATCGAGTGCTAAGGCAGTAAAGTATTTACCTTATAAGAGTTATACCCCTATCATCCCAGGGTATATAAGTAGCATGTCTCTCTCATTATAAAGTGCGCGTCGACCAGGCAGATTTTTATCTACTGAAGCATAATCAGAGTATAAAGCAGACCGTGCCACAGTTTATTAATATAAAGTTTCGCAAGGGGAAGGGCGGGTCTGTGTGGCCTATGGTTGTCGTACTCCCCACACTATAAACCCTGTCCAGCAGCCACTTCCGCCACCTGCTCCTCCTGCTCCTCCTTCGCCTGCTCTACTGCATCAGCATGCAAAAATTACAAAATGTAACCGTGTACGAAGCATAAATAAAATTACGCACGCTTATTTTAGTCTGCTTACAGGCCGAGCAGGGTCAGGGGCGTGCCAGGAGGCTGACCAGGAGGTGGAGCTTTGAGTGGGGTTTTTAAGTTGGTTTTCAGCATTGGGTCTGACCATTAAATGGCCTCGCTTGGGCTTTTGGCTTTAACCACACGGTTTTAATTTGGCGCCGAGACTCGCAACTCGGCCATAAAGCAGCCGAGCAATATAATACCAACTTCTGGTCAAATATATGGCACATGCCACGCCCCACTGAAAGGCGCCTCTGGGAAGAATCAAGAAACTTAAGTGGCTAATGAGACGCAAAGTTCCATTGGGCTAATAATAATCAGAGTTGTGAGCAGATAGCAAAGTATAATTGTTTTGTGTGTGCTGCAAGTGCCACGAGCTGTGGCAGGAGGCGTGCGTGGCAAGGGGCGGGGCATGCGTGCGTGTGTGCAGCAAATGCGCTGAGGTGCGCATAAATATTTAATGCGCATTTCGCGCAGCTACTCGAACTCGAACGTATGTGCCTAGAATTCATCATAAAACCAACAACAACAACAACAACAAATGTGAAAGAGTTGCCTGTGGCAAAAGCAGCAGCTTGTGGCTGTGGCAGAGCTTTGGGGCATGCATAAATAAGCAAAGGAGCCAATGCCAAAGTCAAAGGCAATTTGGACCAAAATGCAAACGTTTGCCACTTGACAAACACGCGCCTGTGATTTCTCAACTCTCATCCTACTCGAGCTAGCAGCGGCCAATTCGTATAGTACACTGAGAGAAAAAGGCCATGAGTTATGGAAATAGTACGTGTGCTGGAAGTGGCTTTCCGTTTTGTGAACTCTAGAGAATTGTTAAAGAAATAGTAACTAAATAATTAATATTAACATTAAATCGTGTCTAAATTTTGCTGACTAGTGTAGTTAATTCAAAATTTTCTTAATTAATCACTATATTCATACCTCTAGCTTTATATATTTCTAGTTTCAAAAACTCTTCATATATTCGCTCCACTTCTCCTGCTTTTCTCTCAGTGTAGCTGCTGTGCATACAATTTTTATGACACTCGAAAATGCTGCGATTTCTGACATATGAAATTGTTGCTGCACATCGTCAATGGGCTATGTATGAGGACTATAAGGACTATGGACTACGGGCATACGAAATACGGCATGTGGAAGCATGCGAGGGCATGGACTACGGGCGTCGCCAGCTGTGCGCGCGCGAGTTGAGAGCTGAGAGCTGAGAGTTTTTTTTGGACAGTTGTTGACGGCGCAGATGAATGGGTTCTTCGTCTTTGAATGGGCATGAATGTGAGTGTATGTTGTTTGTGTGTGTGTGTGTGTGTGTGAGTGTATGGCTACTTTACATTATTCATGCAACGTCAAGGCTGGCAAAACAAATTGATAACTTTATCGGCAAAACATGCAATGAAATGCCAAATGGGCAGAAGCTCAGCAAACACACAGAGTTGCCACCCGGCGTTGCTCAGACCCAACTCGTTTTCAGTTGGCTCTTTGTGTGATTTGCATTTGAATGTTTTACTGTACTTGAGAGCAGCTAACTTCACATTCTTCTTCATTGCTTGAATAGACTTCATATGCTGTCACATTTCTTACGCATATTTCATCGTCTTTATAGTCTTCCCTCGTATTCCACGCGTTTTCTATTGACAATTGACAATTTGCAACGCGACAGAGTTGCCGCCTCATTCTCTCACACTTTCCCTTTCTACCTCATTCTCTATTACTATTAGTATTTCTTTTTCTCCCTTTCTCATTCCGATTTTCTACTAGTCTCATAATCAACTGCGTCTCTAGATCTCTTGCCCCTTACCATAATTTCATCACTCTTGACTATCATATCTCTCTCACTCTTGACTATCATATCTCTTTCTCTCTCCCTGTCTCTCTCCCTCTCAGCCATTTTCTGTTGACTATTTATCAACGCTTTTTCCCTCTCTCTCTCTCTCTCTCTCTCTCTCTCTCTCTCTCTCTCTCTCTCTCTCTCTCCCTCTCTTCCTTTAATTCTTCACTCACTTCTCTCACACTCTGTTTCACACACCCATTCCACTCATTCTGCTGCTCATGCCCAGGTGTCAAGTGGCGACACCTGTAAATTGTGGTCACACTTGGGCATCCTGTGGCTTCCTGCCTTTAGCTTTGGCTGTTGCTGTTGCTGCTGCTGCTGCGGTCAAATGAAATTTCTAAAATGTTTTCCTTTGTTTTATGCGCAACAAACCGAAAGCAACAAAAAGGGACAGGGACACGGGACAAGGGACTAGGGAAAAGAGAAACGGAAACTTTTGCCGGACAATGGGGCAGGAAATGCCGCGAGTGCTTTGGCTAGCTAAAAATGTTCCAGTAACTCGGAAATTGTTAGCACGTTCACTTAACTTGGTTAACATTCATTTGCACAGTTTATAGAAGTTCTCATTGCTGTTGCTGCTGTTGTTGTTGTTGTTGTGCTTTAAAAATCGGTAAACACACGTGACTTGCTGATTAGGCAAACTGAAGAACGCTCACGGAGAGGGGGAGATGAGAAAAATAAATCAGATGAAGACGAAATACTCTATAAGATAATGGGTCAGCGGACAGCTGGCATTGTGGGAGTCGTAATTTGGTATCTATATAGATATAATATTTCATATATATTCCTAAAAACCTCTTATTAGTGTATTTATAATCTCACATCTCTAAACATATTTAAACGCTTTTTCAACAAATATTTGTTTGCTTGTTTGTTGTTACTAAAATATTTCAGGAAATCGCAGCGATTCTTATCAGCTTTGATAAGCACAGCGAATGGCAATCAAAAGAAGTCAAAACAAGGTGAGTCATGCTGAATTTTGGCCCACATTTGTGTGAAACGCAATATCTTAACATCTCTCTCTCTCTCTCTCTCTCTCTATCTTTTCTCCCTGACAGACCCAAGAGCGGCTCTCTGCTGCTCTATTCGAGAAAGAAAGTGCGCTACCGACGCGACGGCTACTGCTGGAAGAAGCGCAAGGATGGGAAGACAACCCGCGAGGATCACATGAAACTTAAAGTACAAGGCACTGAGGTAGGCTATTATACAATCGGCTAACATTCTCGTCTAATAGTGAGAATAACTGAGGTCTATGGGTTCACATTGTAATGGAGAAATACTGATTTAAGGGGATAGATTCATCATATAAACATTAAAATGAGTTCATATCACAAACCAAAATCAGTTCACACAATATATAATATATAAGTTTGTAGCTTAGTAGCATCGCTCCGATTTGAAAAGTTGTTCCCGGTGACATTTTCTTCATCTAAAACTTCCATTGACGCCTGCTGGGCAATTAGTCAATTAGCCAAACAGTCCTAAAAACTGGACAAAACTTTGTCCAGATACCCATAAAAGTGACTAGATAAAATAAAGACAAATAAACGGAAGGCAAAGCTTAAGTTTAACTGCCTTAACAGCTTGAGGGTTGTTAGAAACACTTTTTTTTCGTTCGCAGTGAATTATGATTTTCCGGCGGAAATATAAGTATAACAGTTTCTTTTTGTTTTTTTTTTTTTTTTTGTCCTTACCCTTGTACTGGGCGTTTGTTTGTCTGCTAATGAAATAAGCTTTGGCTAGGGTTAAGCGTATTTCTGTCTGACTGAAGTGAAAGCGCAGGGAACTCGGAACTCTTCATATGTTTAGCTATACATATATATATATATATATAAATGTATATAGAAGAAGAGGAAAAAACTGTTGGCAATTTCACGCCAATTTTTCTTGTTTGTTTTAATTTTTATTTTAATACCGCTTGCAGTTGGCGAAGGTTTTTTTTTTTTTTTTTTTTGCCGAAGACAAGTAGCTGCCGCGAGATTTATGCACTTGGCAAACACACAGCAGGGGTTTTCCTTTTCGGTGTGTCCGTCCGTCTGTCCGTCTGTCTGCTTACACGATAACTAATATTTATAAACGTGGAACACTTCAGAAAATATAGCAAAAAGACAGAAAAGAAGTCAGCGGCATATCGTTCAAAGACGACGGCCAACAAAATTTATCAGCGCCAAATAGCAAAAGAAATTGCGCAGAAAACAAAAACAAGAACAAGCGTAAAGGAAGTAGAAGATGAGGAGGAAGCAGCAGCAGCAGCAGCAGTAGATAATGTTGTAGAAGTCACAGAAAAAAGGGTTTGATTTTTGGCACTTGACTTTTGGCTTTTGCCTTCAGCTAGAGTCTACACTGGCGCCCCCTAGCGTGGGCGTTTGGTAATTTAATTTGAGTTGCGTCTTTTTTATGTCTTCCAATTAAATCAAGGCGCTGCGTGTAGCCTCTAGCTATATAAATCAATATATAAATCTATATCCCTATCTCTATCTCTATCTCTACATTTTTATGCTCTTGTTTGTGTTTCATTTTTTTGTTTCTGGCTAAATTGTTTTCCCGATTGCTCCACAGTGCATCTATGGTTGTTACGTACACTCGGCCATATTGCCCACATTTCATCGCAGATGTTACTGGCTATTGCAGGTAGGTAAGACAGCTTGGTTGTGGGACACACTTACTTAGCTGAACTACTTTATCTTTGTGACAACAAAAAACAGAATCCGGACATTGTTTTGGTGCATTATCTGAATGTGCCCTATCCGGATGATAATAAAATGGCTGTCATTGCGCCGAGCATAACGCTCTGGGGCGATAAGAAGGAGTGGACCAAGGAGGAGCTGGTTAGTCAACTAAAGCCTATGCGTGAGTATAACAGTTGTAGCAGTTGTGGTCTATACTGAAAAGTATTCCCGTTGTATGCAGTGTCCACAGTTAATTCAGATGAGGATTCTGATTCCGGCAATGATATTGAGATATCGGTAAGTTTTAATGTTTATATAACAGTTTGTATAACAATTTATATAACAGTTTGTATAACAGTTTGTTGGAATGTTATACAAAACAAACGTTCGGTACTTTTATAACAGTTTTTAAAATAATTTGTATAACACTTATAGCTTTTTATACTGGTTTTCCAACTTGCCAATAGCAGGCAGCTCACTAAGCCTTGACAGCTAATCAAATGCAATTCTCTCCCACAGACGGCCGAAACAGTAGAGTCTATTGTATGCCAGCTGATGGAGAAGCAACGTCTCTCGCGGCAAGCGGCGTTGGTTAAGCAACTCGACTGCGGCTGCGGCGATGCCAACTGTGCGGATGGCAAGACCTGCACGCATCCCGTTATGCGTCGCACAGGTGGCATATTGAAGAGCGTCTCAGAGAAGCGACCCAATGACGCCTACAGCACAGCCAACGGCACGCCCAACGTTGTGGTGGCCAGCAAGGTGAGTGGAGAGCAGCAGCAGGAAATGGGGATTTGGGGCTTAAGAATCTGTTTGCTTTGCAGCTGTATTCACGTTGGTCGGAGCGACACAGGCAGCGCGATGCCACGTTGCATTTGGACAACCCGCACGCGCAGTTCCACAATGCCACGCAGCAGTTGCCGCAAGAGTCGGCGATCAAATTTCAAATCATTCCCCAGCAGCAACAACAACAGCAGCAGCAGCAGGCCAATCACAACGAAGGCAGCTATCAGCAGCAATATCGTGGCGCCAATCAGATGCTGGCCACAAGAAACAATCTGATAATACAACAGCAGCAGCAGCAGCAGCAGCAGCAACAGCAACAACAACATCAACAGCAGCAGCAACAACAACAATATCAACAGCAGCAGCAGCAGCAGCAGCAGCATCTGAACTTGCAGCGCTTCGTAGCTAGTCACAATCAAAGCAATCAAAGTCATAATCAACTCAACAACAACAACAACAGCAATGCTAGCAACACCTCAGCACATTTAAATCATCGCCTGCAAATTGCCAATACAACAATAACGGCAACAACTAGGGAGGCGGCAGCAGCAGCAGCAGCTGTAGCTGCAACAACAACAGCAGCAAATGTCATGGATACGGAGCTAATTGAAAACCAAAGCCAGCAGCAACAGCAGCAGCAGCAGCAGCAGCAGCAGTTGACCGCAAATAGCAACAAACTGAGCCACAATACAAATAACAGCAGCAATAAGCAATTAACAGTAGCAGCAGCAACAGCAACAACAACAAACCAAGCAACAACAACAGCAGCAGCAGGAGCAGCAGCAACAGCTCACACAAACAACGAATTAAATGTCATAAACAACAACAGCAATAACTTTATATACAATCAACAGCAGCAAGCCAACACTCAACAGCAGCAACATTATTATAAATTGCAACAGACATCAACCCCCAACAGCAGCTGCAGCAGCAGCGGCAGCAGCAGCAATCAACCCCCAGTTGAGGCTATGTGCATGTCACCTGAGCATCACAGCAGCAACAGCAACAGTAGCATCAACAACAACAACAACAACAACAATAGCAACCATCAACTTGGAGCAACAGCAGCAACGTCTTCCGCTGGCAATACTCCTTCCACATCAGCAACATCATCCACCTCCAGTTCCTTACAGTCGATTATCGATGGCAATCAGCAGCAACAAATTACAACGACAACAGCAACAACAACAGCAGGAGGAGCAACAACAGCAACAACAACTTGTGATAATTTAATGAGCGCCAATGCGCACGCTGAGGTAAGTTTTGACCGCAAATCAACTGCATTTATGCCTATTTATGCTGATTAAATTTAATCGACAGCTGGAGTTGGGCGGCGGCAGCAGCAACAACAGCGAGCAACAGCAACAGCAACAGCAGCAGCAGGCGTCTAGCAACTATAGCGTCAACAATCAGGCAACTGATGCCCAAATTCTTAATGGTTGTGCCAACTACAGTGCTTCCAGTGACAACAGCAGCCAAATTAGTGACAGCAACAACAACAGCAGCAGTCGCAGTCGCAGCAGCAGCAACAGCAACAACAGCAACGACGATGAGCCCCAAGCGGAGTCAATGAGTTTCTTCAATGAGACATTGGATCTATCGCACGAGGATATACAACGCACGCTCATTGCAAACATGCCCTATAGCAACAACAGCAACAATCCAACAGCAGCAGCAGCAGCAGCAGAGGACCCAGCGACAGCAACAATAGCTAGCAGCAACAACAACGAAACAGCTCAACAGCAATCGAATGAACGTGAGGACGAGGATACGGCTGATGTATTTGCCAATTTGGATGCCTTTGATATGCTGGTTGAGTTTCCAGAACTGGATCTGGATGATAAGCAGGCATTGAATAATACAGCCGTCGAGCAGGTGCATCATCAAGCCGGTGGCTCCTACCTAGCCACGCCCCAGCCCACAAGCACGCAGCGAAAGCTGCTCAACATTTGTGATTTCAGTCCGGAATGGTCCTACACAGAGGGCGGGGTCAAGGTGCTCGTGGCAGGTCCTTGGACGAGTGATGGCGGCTGCTACACGGTGCTCTTCGATGCGCAGCCTGTGCCCACGGTGCTCGTCCAGGAGGGCGTTTTGCGCTGCTACTGTCCGGCACATGAGGCAGGTTTGGTTACCTTGCAGGTGGCTTGTGATGGGTTTTTGGTCTCCAATGCGGCGATGTTTGAGTACAAGTTGTCGCTGCTGGCGGATGCGCCATTCGATGCCAGCAGCTCCAATGACTGCCTGTACAAGTTTACGTTGCTGAACCGTTTGTCCACCATCGATGAGAAACTGCAGCTGAAGCTGGAGAATGAGCTCACAGTAAGTGCAGCGACTATCAACAAGAAAGTCCTCTCTCTCAACTATGATCTTTATTTCCCTTTGCAGTTCGATCAAACTTCCCTTTTTCTTGAGCCCAACTTTGAGGAGAAACTGGTGCTCTATTGCCATCGGCTCACGAAGCACGCTTGGAGCACGCCCAGCACTGGCGCCAATTGGAGCGTTGGCTTGCGTGGCATGACCCTGCTTCATCTGGCCGCCGCCTTGGGCTATGCCAAGCTGGTGGGCGCCATGCTCAACTGGCGCGCTGAGAATCCACATATCATATTGGAAACGGAGCTGGACGCACTTAGCCAGGATGTGCATGGCTTTACGCCCTTGGCTTGGGCCTGTGTTCGTGGCCATTTGGAGTGCACTCTGCTGCTCTACAAGTGGAATCATAATGCGTTAAAGATCAAGACGCAGGCACAGCAAACGCCACTCGATTTGGCCAGCTTGAAGGGCCACAAACAGCTGCTGCAGCAGCTGTGCCGGCTTGAGAAGGAACGCTGCCGCAAGCCACAACCACGCGGCGGACTGGCCAATCTCTCCATGAATCTGGGCGTCGAGGCGGCCACTGATGAGTCCAATTATAGTGTGTACGAGATGGAGCTGCAGCGCAGACATGACGGAGTCTTCCTACGACCTGTGGCGCTTCATAGGTAATTTTTGTCAACGAGAGTAGAATTTTTGCAGTTGGGTCAGATTAGGCCATTCCATTAACGAATCTCAGTATGATTTTCTAGTATATATAAATTAATATAGATAGTTTTGACTGATGTATACGTACACCTAGAATTGACATCCTTTTTGATAGACTCTGTTAATCATCTATGTGAAATTGTTTATCAAAATGGCTTATCCTCATTTCACCAGTTTTCATTATACCATAAACCCATTGAAGAATGGGAACTCAGGGCAGTAGTCATGCCAAACCCCATCAAATAGATATTCCTGATTAGCTACAGCAACTGAGTTCGCTTCTCGTCCGTATGTCCGTCAGTTTATAAGATCAAACATTTAGCAGCTTTACCTTTTCTATTCAAAGGAAATTCTCAGCTTTAGGTTCTGAATCCTCCACAAAAGATATTGCGTGTAATAAGTTTATATTCTCTTCTAGCAATCAAAGTCCGCCAAATAACAGCAGTCGCTACTCGAAGCGCTCTTCCATCGACAGTGGCATCAACATGGATATGCGCAGCAAATCTGGAAAGCCATTAGCTAGAATGCACGGGTAAGCTATATCTAGCTATATTAGATATCTGATCTGATAAATCTGATTTTTAGCAACTATGAGACACATGACAACTATGCTCTGGGCGTGGATTCCCCTTTGGACTCGCTGAGCGGCAACAATTGTTCCGGTCTGCTATCGCCGATGCGTAAAATGGATTTCGCTCTATGTAAGTTGAGGGCTGGCCATCAAGAGCTAATGCTCTCTATTAGATAAACTCTTTACTGTGTGTACGATTGTATATGAATGCTATAAAAATCGAAATTCTAAACACCAGGCGAGGTATCCACGGGCGAATCGAGTCCCATACACGACAAAGACATCGATTGCGATGACAATTCGACGAGCGTGACTGACACAACTTTAAATAATGAGCTCAACGATGCGGTCGTAGGTTAGTCTGAGGATGCTGTCTCTGTCTCCCTCACTCTCTGTCTCTCTCTATGCTAACCACTTAACGTAATGTCGTAATAATGTAACGTAACAATCCAAAGGGGGAAGAAGCGCTGGCCATCATCAAATCTAATATGCATTTTGTGTATAGCTCGCTCGCTCGCTCTATCTCTCTCTTACACTCTTATATATACATATATTTCTCGCTGTCTGTCTCTCAATGTTGTTGTTGTTGGTTGCTGTTGCTAATTGTTGTTGTTGCATACATACATATATAGAAAATACACAGACACATACACACACACATATATATATACATACACACACATAGCTAGCTATGAGCTCTGATCCTCATAATATCCAAAATTAATTTATATAAATGTATCGGATGATGTTCTTGATGTTTGTTCTAGCTATGAACATGCATATGAGTGTATTCATAATACAATTTATGGTTTCGATGTAAATACTCGATGAGTGTCTCACACACACAGACACTGATATAACTAACTATATATATATACGTTCGGCATATGTATTTGTATTTGATTAGAACTAATCTTAAATGTGTGTTTTTATCGATGTGTAACACTAACACTAAAACCAATTTTAAGACTAATACTAACACTGACACTAATACGCATACATATATTTACATACTCACACACATACATACATATATACACGCTGTATATTTATACTCGAAATGTGTTCATTCTGTAAATATTAAGTGCGTGTGTGTCTGACTATTGGAAAACTAACACATGCAAACATACAAACGTGCTCATCAACGAGGGTGGCTTGAAAAATTACAAATTTCTTGGAATGTGAAAGCAAAATTCAACCAAATGAAATCATGACCATCAATTCAAAAAATCTAACCATCTGAATGGAAACTTTATACAGTTTCAACTGTCAACTTCTCAAGCTGCCCTCGTGAAACTAACTCTGGTGCTTGTCGATGTATATTTAAACACAGAAAAACAGCATTATATGTAGTCTCGTTAATTGAAACTGTGTAAAGCGTAGTAAAGCGAACCCCAAGTATAGCTCAATTCATTTTATGTGGCCTACTTTCAGGGGACTCGGATGCAAAAGTTTTAACGCTAGCGGAACATATTATAGCAGCTATGCCAGATAGGATCAAGGTGAGTGAGATGTGGTATATAGATATATATTATGTATATGGTAATGTATATCCTTCTCTTGCAGAACGAAGCGCATGAAATGATGGTCTTGGGCAGCCCTTTAACGGAGCCACTCACCTCGGAGTCGTCGGCACTGACAGATAGCTTTATGGATCCGCTGCTCGATTCGTTGCCCAATACGCATTTCGATAGCGATTTCAGTTTCGATTTTCATGATCACAGCTATCGATATCATGATGTGAGCACTCCTTGCTCTAGCCTGAGTCCCGCCAGTTCGGGTCCTTTGCAATCGCCGGCTAGCTATTCCATACTCGGCACAGATCCTTCGGTCAGCTCACCTAGTCCGCCGCCCTCAACTAAGCAATTGACGGAGTTCCTCCACGCTTCCAGCATATCGCAATATCCCTTCGAGGCAGACTTCTCGAAGCTAACGCTCACAGACACCGAACAGCGCGAGCTCTACGAGGCAGCCAAGTGCATACAGAAGGCGTATCGTTCGTACAAGGGCCGCCAGAAGATGGAGGAGCAGAATAAGGAGCGTACCGCTGCAATCGTTATACAAAACTATTATCGTCGCTATAAGCAATACGCTTACTACCGACAGATGACCAATGCAGCTCTAGTCATACAGCACGGCTATCGGTCGTATCGGCGCAACAAGCGCTTCAAGAAGTCCCAACTGGGCACTGGCAGCGAACAGGGCAGTGTGAGCAGCAATTCCCAATGCCTGTCCAGCTTTTACGATCACTACAAGCAGGATCAGCAGCAACAGCAGGAGCTCAGCTCACAGCCTAGCACGCCCAAGGAGACGAGTCCGTCGGGTCCCTTGAAGTGAGTGAAAGTTTCATTTGCGAAATCATATATTTCAATTTTCATCAAAAAGCTTCGATTCACTTAAAACTGTATTATCTATAACCATATCTAATCTGTATCTTACACAGGCGTACATATTCGCAGTCGACACAAAATCAGGCGGCCAGAAAAATACAACAGTTCATGAGACAATCACGCATCAAGTAAGTTTTTATACCCTATAGCCATATCTCTATTTATACGTAAGCTTTATCTATAAATAAGTCAAGTTCGCGTACTAAAAATTTAATTATATATAAACATCTTGCACGCTAGCATTTGGGATAGCAATTTGACGACTTTGGTAAGATGTTAATGGAGTAATAGTGATATCGATAGTTTTTTGTATTTATAATTTTTCTATTTTTTCGTTATCAAAATAACAAATTACGAGTTCTTAAATCGATTTCTAAAAGAAAATAAGTAGTCGATACTTTTAGTTTATCTATTATTATTTAGCGCATTATTATTTACGTATATGATTTATCCTTACATAAATACTTATATACTTCATTTACTTGTCTCTATAGACTACAGAGAGAGCGAGCCGAAAAAGAGAAGCTGGTGCACCAACGCAGGGCGGAATACCTTCAAAACTTGCAGTATCAAGGGCAACAGGAAATGGCAATATGCCATAGTGAGAATAGGTAACTTCTAACGCAATATCAATCGCAAATATATTAATAATATATATATATATTTTTATCTTGCAGCAACAATAACATCAACAATCTGCAACATATGCAATCCAATCAATGAGAGAGAAGCGAAAAGAGAAGCAAAAAATATATATGGAATAAAAACTATGTTCAATAAGAATTTATTAATAGCTTTAACAACTGAGTGAAACTTTCTACTTTCATAATTGTTTATTAAGACACGCAGCACCTCTTGTAGTGGAATTTTTCGTTTTTGACTTGATAATACTTATATATATATATACCTATATATATATAAATTATATATGTAATAGCAAGATCTGCACTTTTATTCATTTGCATAACGAATTTTAATATATACACATATAAAACGATTGATTTTCTGAAACTTTGTAAAACGTAGTTTTAGTATTTTATAAAACAACAACAAAAGCAACCAAAAAATCTTCGCAAAAGAGATATAGAGATAAAGAGAGCTCTACTTTTCCATTTGTCAACTCAAAAGAACTTATTAACGAAGCCTTCGAAAAACTTTTTAACTCCAAGTGTAGCAAAAGAGATTTAGTCTTAAATACTTTAAAACCAAATAATAGAAATCAATATAAAACATAGCTATAATTCTAAATATATACATGATATATGCTATATGCCTAGTAGTTACATTTGTAAATATATCAATTTAGCTCTAATTCGCGACCCTAAACAAGAACTTTAAACTATTTTATTGTAATTGTATTTAAATTTTGAGCTCTGCTTGTTTCTAAAACAGCGTGTAATAATATCTAAAAGCATTAATTCTCGATTTTAATCATATATATATATGTATGAAGATATCTAGCTATATATAGTATTATATATTATACTTAAAGCTCAGCTCGAAAGTCCAAATGTTGTTGTTGATTTCTAAAATCGATAGAGCAAAAACAAAATATCACGTTAAACATTTTGTTTTCATTTCCTTTTTCTAATTTGTAACTGTACTTTAAGATTAGGTATGCGCTATATATATATTTGTTTAACGCAAGTACTTAAATCCAAGTCTGTCAACTTTATGTGACTTTTGTAGTCTAGCAATAAAAAATTATAAATTAATACAAATATAATATCCTATGCATGCAATCGATAAATCGTACTATATACATATATATAAATATATATAAATAACTGTTCAATCTTTAACCGATAACATTAGGGAAAGGTCGATTTTCGCTATTCAAAACTAAATGTAACAATACAAGAATTTTTGTAAATTATTTTTGTCCGTCCACATTGTTAGCTTTCATAAACAAAAAGATATATGTATATATACAGTAATATATATATATATACTTACTGTATATATAACAACGTTTTCTGAGCAAAACTCGTGAAACTCGACATACATACAATTTATATAGACATACCTCCAGCACGCCTCAGAAAAATGAAAAAGTAAACATTGAAAGAAATCTTGTCATATATATATAATATTAAGAATTGATAGACATACACAGCCACACATACATACACATACACACTTCAATTTCTACGACATGTGCAGAAAGAACTCATTGCATTTGGGCTGTGAGTTAATCTATATATAAATATATCTACTCTATCTATCCCTAGACATATTTGTTGCGGGCTTGCAGCTAGAGCCAATTCTATAGATCGATTACCAATTGTTAACTATATTGAAACTTACCAAAAAAAAAAAAAAAAAACAACTTCATTTTCCGCACCTACTCTTAAAACTTTTTAATTGCATTTCTTTCAATATATATACTATATATATAACTGAACTACTTTATGTACTTAAACGAAACTAATCTGAAATGAAGACTAATTAAAGATTTTCTCTACTTAATGACTTATTAAAAGTATATATAATAATAAAATGAATTGCAATCAATTTTTAGAGCTAGAAATAAAAAACTATCTAAAGCTCTTTTGTTATGTTGTTGAAATGTAAAAAAAAAAATAAACAAATAAATAAAAACCTTTGCAATATTTGCACATATATCTATATAGAAAACTAATAAAACTACTACTACTACTACTACATACACACAAAACACACACACACACATACACACTATGTACTAAACTCTAGTAAAAAAAAAAAAGAAAAACTTAAAGTACCTTAAGCCAATTGGCACTAAAAACTTAAAACTAATAAAAATCAATTTAATTTTAATTATGAAAAAATTGAAATTAAAAAATAAAAAGTATATAAAAAATCTATCCCCTAGCAATTTTAATAAGTCTATGCTAACAACAAATTATATATATATATTAAAATCATAAAATGTCCTAAATGCTAGTTTCATAGTATCCACATTACCAAAAAAAAAAAAGAAAAAAAAAAGAAAACTGTTATATTATAAAATGAAAACTCTTAACTCTTAAAAGAAAAATCTAAACTAAACTAAACAACACCAATTGTTGATATTCGATTAAACATTTTTATACTTGCAACTTTAATCTAGCTAAAATTGTTTTTGGTATTCACATATCTGTTGAGAATGAATTGGAGGATTGAATTCTTATAGCTAGACTATAACCCTAAGAACTTTCAAAAAGTCTTTAATGATAATATAACTTTAATTGAAACACCAACTAAATTTATGTTTGCTTTACTCTATATAAATATTCTAAATTTCACACCAGAATTTGTAGGATTCTAAAAAATAAACAGAAGTCAAGAAGAAGCAGCAATTGTTAACAGAAACAAAAACAAATGAAGAAAGAAGAAAACACTTTTATGTCACATATTAAAGTATATATAATATATATATACATCTACCTTATGAAATATTCAACATCAACTATATATATATCTATATATATATGTAACATTTTACAAGTATAATTAAACGTGAATTCAAAAAGAAAAATAATTGTATAATTGCTATATGCTAACATATATATATATAAACTATATATATATAAAACGACTTTCCAGTTTATGTAAAATTGTAATTAAATTCAATAAAGTTTAATTCAACACTTTAGTTGAACTGAATTAGATAGAATTTACTTTTTGCCAAGGGAATAGAATTATAAACAGAGCCATTTCAGGGAGTGTTCTAAAAACTGTACTAAAATACGGATGGTATCTTGTGTACAGTATATATTCATTCTTATACTCCAATAAGTACATGTATTCTCTTACTCATGAGACTCCTATGCTCTTATACACATATGCTCACACATGCATTCCCTTATAATCCCATACTGGTCTTATACTCAGATGCTATAAATAACCACACGTACTATATACTAATACATTTTCATATAATCTCAAACACTTTTACTCAAACATCTACTCTATACTCTTCTGGTATAATAGTCTTCTAATCAGATATTCTTATATTCACATACATATCTTTACAAGTATGCGCTTATACTGCCTTAAGCCAAGTCAGCGACACCACCAACAACATCAGGCATCGTTTACACATTTGTTATGGGCTCAAGGCATAAAAAGTGAACTTATCAACGTCATGTGTTTCCTGTCACACCTCCCATTAAGAGCCTAGGCCCTGAGATACCCTTTTCCTAATTCTTGATAACTTAATAAAACCAATTAGTGAACAATTTGTCTGGCGCCGTTAACCCCTGGCCTATCGCCAGGGTGAAAGTCAGCAGACGAGTTAAAAGAAAAACCTTGCAACATGTTGTCGATAAGAGCTAGATTTTTACCTGCCCTCGGCTGCAGCTGTTGCTAGAGTGTTTTTTCCACTACTCCTTACCTCTCCTCAGCTCAATTAACACCTGAGCATGTTTCAGCCTCTTTGTTCGTATCTGTTCGCTGCATTGTTGCCTAATTACGTAGACAATGCCAAATGCCAAATCCATTCGCAACGTCTTGTTAAAACAAATCTGCTTGCATGTAATTGGATGCTGCTTGTGCATTATATTGGACTGACGCCCAAAGCCTTCCTGTCTTGGCTCAATTTACACCTGTTTTATTGCCAATCGCTGTTTAGCCTAATTTATTTCATATACACAAACAACATATCAAATGTTCTCTCGCTTCAGTTCTATCTATGACAAATGCGATTTGTTGCACTCATTTGTCATTAGAGATGGGAGCGTGAGTAAGAGAGGTGAATATGAACAGACATTTACATTAAATAAAGCCGATTAGAATATGATTTTAGAATGGGCTTCAAGATACTCTAGATTGAAGATCTACAACTTGAGAATTTGCATAGTATAAGAGTAAGAGCAACTGAGGCCATATAGTTGAAATTATTTGTAGACTATAAAGAGAGGGAACCTAAAAACTTGATTAACATAAGGTAGATCATTAATAAATTATTTCTATCTTTTTTCTATCGCTCTAGTCTGCTCTTTTGTCTTACTTTCTAATGACATAATTAGTTGCTCTTTGTCAACATAACTTTCGTTCGTGTTATACAACACCTAGATCGTGTCATGTCACGCGATCCTCTCTAGCAGCAATAGATGATGTGATTTGTTATCGTTACGTGTCCATTCCGGCCAATGCGTCTGCATTGTGCCTCTCAGATTGGATCGTTCCACTGGCTGTTGCCTGACACAGCGGAAGCGGGAAATGTGAAACCAAGCGTTGCTCTATTGAAATTCCCGTTGTTACAAACAACAACAACATTCATAATAGTACCAGCTATATATGAAATAAAAAATATTTGTATATACAGATTTTATGACGCCCACAATTTGTATTTTTGTTTGTTATTTGAACTCCAAATTTGTTTATTAGCTGGAAATTCGGAGTTATTATTTTATTGTTTCACGCTTCTGATTTTTATTATTTTTTTTTAATGCCCTGAACTCATTGGATATAAGTGAATGGGGTATAATGTTTTGCTTAGCGTGAATGTTACAAGCACAGAGAGGTGGGGTTGACTCTGGAAATATATGGTCTAAAGTCTATATGGGCATACAGTTTTTATCTGGTTTACACTTCTCCACTTTGATAAATTTCCGTTTATGTTTAATAGAATTTTTCTCCTAGGGTATTTCCTAGTCGGTAGCTCCAGCGCTTACTCATTTTTTATGTGTCTAGTGGTCAAGTTGCAGCTGCTTTTATTGCAGTGAGAGTACGACTTGAATACCCATCAATTAAATAGTTCCACAAGCTGATTCTCTATAACTTTTGAAATGGAGCACATATCAAAAGACTTAAGTTAAAAACTCGATTGATATGAAAATAATCATTTTCAATTTATATGAAAATGACTTGATCCTACGTCTAGAACCTATATATAGAAGAGCTTCCCTGCTGATGAATATATTCAACAGCAATTCGCATAAATAAGCTAAAGTTTCCCATCAACTAGCTCTTAAAATGACTAACTAATCAAGAATCGATTGGCTGTCGTAAAAAAACATCTATGCAGCTAGTTTGCCATTAAATAATTATATTGTATCTGTCGTTTTTTTTCGCTTTAACAATCTTAGCACATAATAAAAGTCATCGTAAATACTATTAGCAATAGACACTACAGTATGTGGGTCATCTGATGATCAATATATCAACATTAATTGAAAGCTTCACACGTGTGGAATGTAAGCCAAAGACTTGCTAAAATGTGCCAGCATATATACCCTGTAATTAGAAGTCTTGCCGACTCAGAGAATTGCTGTACATAAATCTAAATGTCCTATTTATGTCTGACTCAAATCTTTAGATATTTCCCTTTACAATGCTTACACACATTCCCATCACTTTGGCACGTCTTCCTTTGCCATGCAGTATTTATGGAAATGCCACAGCTGTCACGACAATGAGCTGTTAATCTAAACACTCTAAGATTACCAACACAATTGGCAATTTAATATAGATGAAGAGCAAGAGAGAGAGGGAGAGTCAGAGCCCCGCAGGGCTTTTGATAGCGAACTGTTGACTTGGCTCATCTTTCTAGGAACCAAATTACAGTTAATGTTAGCTGATGACGCGACACGTTTGCCAATATAAGATCCCAAGCTGACAAAAGTCCAACACTGCCTGACTAAGACATACCCTGAAGATATATTCTTATGTATAAAAAGGAAACTATCAAAGCCACCAAACACATTTTTTTAGTGGGTATCAAAAAGCGTTACTAACAATCGAAACTAAGTATAGCACTCGATGCCAGACAATGGGCCATGACAAACACACTACATACATATATCGTTGTTGTTATTACCCACTGCTGTTGTTGTCGATTTGTTGAGTTATGAACTGTGTTATTGCCTGTCAACGTTGGTGAACAAAATTGTGTATTTAAAGTTAATTGCATTTAATGAGACAAACTCTGCTTAAAATGTCATCAATTACATGAGCATAGACTAAGATCGAATATATTTATAAATAAATATAAATATACATACATATGTACATATAGATTGAAGTTAATATATGTATATATAGCAAGAGATTTATGCAACACGAAAGCCAAGTTCAAATTTGCATAAATGGTAAATCAATTAAAAGGCGACAACTCGTATCCAAGAAATGCATTAGAGTTTGACACAGCAAGAGAAAGAGAGAGAGAGAGAGAGAGAGAGGGAGAGAGAAGTTGTTACTGCAGTAGCTGTTGCAGTTGCATTCGGTTGTCTTGGACACGGCAGGTAGCATTAATTGAAGCTCCCCCAACCGCTTTGCCCTCACTCAGCTGTTGCTGTTGGCAAATGTCAAGCTGTTTTGTGACTACCGTGGCAGAAGCGCGTAGCGTAGCGTTTCACAACTGGCCAGTAAATAACCGACAATAAATCACTTTGAACAAATACAAAATACAAAGCAGAAACTAGAGAGAAAAAAAAACACACAACACTTTTGTAAAATAGTAAACTGCTAACTGCTGTAATCGCTGTAGTTGTTGCAAATTTAAACAAGTTGTAAATTTGTAAAAACAAAAACGACAAAAAGAGAAAAAATAAATGACGAAAAACACTTGTAAATACACATTGATGAACATGATGGGTGTGTGCAAGTGTGTGCGTGTGTGCGCGTGTGTGTGTGTTTGTGTGTGTGAAGTGCGCTGACAAATCACCTGTTGGCCATTTGATAAATGCCCCCTTCAGCCGCAAGCCACAAATTCTTGACATTAACCCACTGTAATGTCTTCTCGGTCCGTTAACACGACTTTTACCCGCATCGATAAATAATTGATTTGATTGCCGTGTCACAATTTAAGTAAGAGATAGCGAGAGAGCCGGGTGGGGGGGCGAGGGAGAGCGTGAGAGAAGCTTTCCCAAGACATTATCAGACAACAATAATGGGCTTTAATGGTACCCCGTACTGACGTCTCAGAATGCCAGAGCTGGACTTCATTCACGTGCGAAAGGATCCTGTAACACAGCGCTAAGCAGCGATCGCTTGCAACATGTTGCAGCTGTCAGCAAACATTGCAGAGGGCAGTTCAACAAGTTGGGCTCGAGTGGGTTCGCTACAATTCGTATACTCAGAATGAGTTGAGCTTGAAGCCGCGAGAGGGCTAGTTGGGTTGGTTGTGATATTTTCTGGTCTTCTGACTTATATTTAAATTCATCAATTTTATTATTTTTATCACTTACCCAGGAGCATTTTGACTCTCGCATATTGAACTGTAATATAGGAGAATATAGAGATTAAAATTCAAGAATAATACATAAATATTATATCTATATTATATATATGAATATGAGTATTCGTATGTTTATATTAATTTCTATATATAATACAAAATATATAGAAATGCATTTATTTATTTATTATTTGCATTTAAACTATTTAATTTAATTATTCCAACTTGCTTACAATCCTCTCCTATGTGATTCTCACAAATTCAAGTAACACTTATGTCTACTAAAACTTTAGATTCTGAATATACATAACTTTTAACTATTTTACGATACTCTCTCTCTCTCTCATTTTCTTTATTTTTATAATTGTCTCCCTCCTCTTTATTCTCCTGTCTCTTTCTTCCTTCCTCAACCCTCATAATTATGTTTGCTATAAATATTCAACTTCACTTTAACATTTCCCAAACTTCCATAGCCAACCTCGCTCACGCGCAGCTTCCTCGAACTCAGCTCGAACATGTTCGCTGTGCCAGCTGATTGAATAGTTTTTACAAATTTCATTTCAACTGGCCGTCTGCCAGTTCTTATACGACAAGCGCGTTCAACGGTTGACCCGGGTTCCCAAAAACAAAATCGAAATCGAAAGAAAAACCCCTAAACCTAAAACTGAAATCGAAACCGTGTGGCGTCGCGTGTTGGGGATCGTCTTGCATTTTGTCGGCTCAGCTCTTTAATTGTGTCACTAATGAGCCGCATTTATGTTAATCTCGGCACCCGGGCCGAGACCATCTAAGCCTTTCAAGCGGTCAGGCCGACAACGATGCCAATGCCGACGACAACGGCGACGACAACGTCGACGACGACGATGATGTCGACTCCTGCGGCATCTTTATCGCGCGCTGTGTGAATTAACATACAACATACGAAATACACTCACACGATACAAAGATTTCAAAGTGTCTTTTCTCCTCCCCCCCTCTCTCTCTCACTCTCTCTCTCTTTCATTCTCTCTGTTTCGCTCCCTCTCTTTCTACCTGTTGAATTCTTCGTTTTTGGTAGTTTTCACCTGCTGCGCCGTTTATGGTTATTGCCGCAATTTGGTTGTGACAGTCGGCAGGCGCTTTATCATAAATTAAAAAGTCGTGTAGTCGCAGACTCGCACAAGTCTCTGCTGTCGGATCAGTGCGAGTGGTGCAAGTGCCGCGAGTGGTGCGTGTGGTGCTGATGCTGATGCTGATGCTGCTATTGCCGCTGATGAATGATGCGCTGTTAAAGCCAAGTTATTTTGCATGAATGAAATCGCAACGAGACGCGACGTGATAAACGAGCTGCTTCATCAACTCAGCGCTCTCCGAACGATGACTTAATTTAAAGTGCCGCTACACAGAAGGTGTTAATTAGCATATGGACAAATACATCAACAACATCGACAACAACAACAACAACAACTATTTCGGCAATCTCAAACTCAAACTCAAACTCAGTCTACCATCTGCAGCTTCACTTTGTTTATTTTTGCTGTCGTCTGCTCTTTGAGCTCGATAATAATAAAAAAAAAAAGCTATCCAATGTCTACAATTCATCAGTAAAAAATCTATATATATGTAGATATATATATTTACAAACGATAATAAAAAACATGGTGCAAAGCTCAACAAATTTTCTGTGGCGAGTTCTTAAGTTTCCGAGCCGCGCAGTTAGCATGAAAAGAATATGAAGAATTATTGTATTTCTATTTGCTTTTCCGTTCGTGCTCGTGATTGTGTTCGTGCTTGTGCTTGCTCATTTTCTTTAACGGCGTAGCCATGTGGAAAATACACAACAAACTTTTAATATACTTACTCTGGATTATGGAAATAAGGTATAGTATAAAAACCAACCAACAACAAATCTTTCTTTTTCTTTTCGATCACTTTTGCTTCGTTCTTTCAATGAAAGCCGCCGTCTCAATATAGAAACGATTGTCGAACGTTTTGTTCTTATGCTAAACAGTTTTCATTCTTATTTATCGACAAAAATTGTGTTCTAAATAGCTCGAGAACTCTTTTATGGCTTTAGACAAAGAGAGGTATTAGTGGGCACAGAACAGTGGCTGACTTCTTTGACTAAGTGTGTATTTCTTTAGATTTTTATACAAAGCTAAAATAATCCGCCTACTTTAAGCGAGAAGAAAAAGTTGGATATAAGTTCGATTTAAGGATTTTTTTATATTTCTTATATAATAGTTAAAGTTATATGGAGATGCGTATGTATTTTGTATAAATATCAGTAGCCATCTCTTTGCTTAGCTCTAAATCTTCAATAATATGGAGATTCTCTGTCTATCTTTACGTCTATCCATCCCACACATCCGTCTATCCCTACCTATCTATCTTTATCTATCTATAATTGAAATTTTAAGACCAACTGCTCGATAATAATTACAATTTATTGTCCAATCTATCAACCTACATTACTGAGAAATAAATCTTTCTACTGAGATGAGATAATATACACTAATTCTTCCATTACAAATTCAATTCTCTAGTCAGATAGTTATCAATCAAATAAAATGATTTAATGACTATTCATTGCTGAAAAAAGATAAATAATTTGAACTTAGAAGATAAATAAAAACCCTGTAAATTAGTTGCTGTTTCTCTTAACTGAAATCAGATTTACTGTAATGTTTTTATCTTAACCAGAAATAGACATTAATGTCACTTCTATAGCAACTCAGGAAATCCAGGGTATTCGATGTGAATTAACATACTCTCTCAGCTAGTTATAGCAACTCAATCGGTTTTTTTTTTTTTTTGCTTTCATGTTTTCTTTTTGCTTATCAATATCAAATCTCGCGCCGCTGTTGACAACTGTTTCCTTTCGATCTCAACAAAGCAACAGTTAAGATCGCAGCGAATCGCTAATTTTCATCGGTGTAACGAGACAAGAAAAATCAGAGAGAAGGAGATGGAAAGAGAGAGAGAGAGAGAGAGAGAGAAAGAGGGGGCAAATTACAAGGAGTTGTATGTAAATTGTTATCTAGACGCCCAAACACAATACGCCCAATCACAGCTCAGCTGCTGATCTCGTCGATCGTCGATCGGTGATTCTAGTGGAAAACAGGCAATAAAACTAACAACAACAATAACAACAACAGCAACTGCAGAAAACAGCGGGAAAAACGTTGAAAAATCTCATTAAAATGGGCAATTAAATGATGGCAACAGCAACTAAAACCAACTGACAGACGGACAGCATGACAGACGGGCGTGTGTGAGGCAGTTACGACGAATGCCATTTTCCAAAGACAAACACAGTTTGCCAATCAAAAAACTTGGCTAAAGCAGGAGCAACGGGAGCAGCAACAACAACAACAACAACAACAACGACAACTGGAAATCAATTTTTGCCATAAACTCATCAACGTGCCCGACTCTCTGTGTGTGTTGTGTGTTTCGGCTGCTATCTAATTGCCTTGGCGCAGGCAGTTGCGAGTATCTAAAAGATACGGCGGCGTCGGCAGCCTCTCCACTTGGGATTGTTCCAGTGGGCTGGTCTTGTGGGCAGCTACGCCGCCGCCGTGGCGGCCAGCTGAACAACAATGCGCATCGGCAGCAGCAGCAGCGGCAGCAACAACAACAGCTATGAACAAGTAAGAGTGCTCTAGCAAAGAGAGTGCCAGACTAGCAAATATCCTGCAGCAGAAAAGAGGCAGAGATAATAATTTAATGGAGCAAGGTATGGATGCGCACTTGACCGATTGCATTTTAAAGTAACAAAAAGGCCAATCCAAACATTCGATATGTATCGATTAAAGAACAAGTTAGCAATTTATAAAAGTATTTTTAGAGCTAAATTATATCATATAAAAATATTTAAAAATATTATCAATATTAAAATATTATCATTATTAATCGATGAAAAATCAATGTTAAAAATCGATTTAATATCGCTAAGTGTATATTACTTCCCATTACTCATTCTTAGCTCCTGCATACCCACCGTTGCTCACATTTGTAATGAGTAGAGGGTATGCAAAGGTTTGCTGACCAGTTAACAGGTTGCCCACAAAAGGGTCTTAACCCAGAAAAAACTGCAGCATCGCTTGTAATTGGGGTTACTGCGCAATCTTAAAGCGCTCCAAATGGCATGTTGTACAAACAGGAAACACAGACCAACAGAGAGAGAAGAAGAGATGAGAAAGAGAGAGAGTGTGTGTGAATAAGAGAGATAGAGAGAGAGAGAGAGAGAGAGAGAGAGAGAGGGGCTTGTTACATGCCTTGAACAATTGAAGCTCATGAGCTTGCAACGTGCAGACAAACGCTCAAATTGTGATCAAGATCGTCGTAAGTCGTTGCCAGTTACAAGTCCAAAAATGGCCTTTCAAGTGGTTCCTGTGGCTGTAGCTGTGGCTGCGCCTGTGCCTGGGCATGTGCCTGAGCTGCCAAGCAGGCGCGGGAGCTGTTGGTGGTGCTCATTGCTTGCCAGGCGGATCGTTTTGTACTTTTAGATGAGTGATCGACTCGAGCACAAACAAAACTATCTGCGCTTGATCTGTCTGTTTGTCTGGCTAGCAGCTGGCTGGCCGGCTCTTGGTTCGCGACTCTCATTTGGTCAGCTTGTTGTGGCTACATTTGCCAATTGCCCATGACGAACGATACGTTTGGCCTTACCTGTTGCCATTCGGCTAGGGAGACCCTGGTCATACGTCTTTCGCGGCTCAATTACGTCGTTCGTCGTTTTCAGCTTTAGCTGTTTGCCAGGATTGAGTACAATTGTTGCCATTTGCCGTGCCAACGACATATATTTTTCTCTCTCTCTTTTTCTTGGCCAAGGCTCGCTTTATGCATTGTTGTTTCTTTTTTTTCCTTTTGGTTTTTTTATTGATGGCATGTTGAACAGCTTTTATGGGTTTTCTTTTAGTTTGGGCTTGACTCTGTGTGCTGTGCTGCCAGTGCCCCGGCACCGCCCACTTTACATTGCAGCTGGACACGAGGCCACAAACTTTCAAATGCCGTGGCAAAACAAAACACAGAAAACTGAAAACTGAAAACAGAAACAGCGCACAAAACTAAGACCAACGCTGCATTTTGCATTTTGAACTGAACTCGGCCTCGTAGTCAGTCGCATTGTTTGAATTAATGTGGCTTTGTGGCTTCCGCCTCCAATTGGCGCTTTATTTTGGCTACACACTCGTAAATTTTCGGCCAGCGGGCAGAGCGCCACGAACATGTCAGCGTTCCATGTAATTACCCACGGCCAACGCAAGCGCCAGGTTCAGGTCCACAGCAACAAGAAGAATGCAGTTAAAGATGCAGATGCAGATGGAGATGCAGATGGAGATGTAGATACAGATATGTAGATGAATACAGATACAGATACAGATACAGATACAGATACAGATACAGATACAGATA